TTTTTTTTTTTTTTTTTTTTTTTTTTTTTTTTTTTTTTTCTATATATATAATTATTTATTATTTAATTTTATAACCACCTAAGTTATGTTCAAAGCATTTGGAGATAATGAGACGGTTCAAAAATCATCATTTAGCATATTTTTGTTCAAAAATACATCCTTATTTACTTAATTGAGCTTGCATACGATAAAACTTGAATACGCGTGTACCACAATTTTATTTTCACCAATATTTATCTTAATTTTGTTCTTTGTCCGTTCATCATATGGAAGGCCCATGGTCTTAAAGATAGTGAGAGAGTCATTTTGCCTGAGATGCAAGATATACAAGTTTATGAATATGTTTGCCGCTCAGACATCACATATACATTAATGGTTAATATTATGAAAGTAATGAACAAAAGGTGCAGTTTTCTATATGTATTTACATATAATGGATATATAAATGAACTTTAAGCCTTTGACACTAGATAACTTGAAATATTAGACACCCCACCTTAATCTTTGTGACAATTAATTTAATTTGTTATATTAGATAACCTAAGGAACAATATTAGCATGATGTTGTAATATTTCGAACTGTTGGATGAAACGAGCTTCTCGTGAGCTCGTTTCAGTTCGGCTCGAGCATTTTTAACTAACAGAGTGAATTAAGTTTGAGAATATAAATTTTTTTATACAATGTTAATAATTTGTTAATCAAAGCTAGAGTTCGACTCGTCGAACTGATAAACGAACTGAGCTCGATCGTTTCAAGTTTGAATTCGAGTATTAAAAGCTCGAGCACAACTAAACTCATTTACACCTATAATTTAACATAATTCATTGTTGCCGCTTCACAAATCACATACCAATTTACATATCCATTTGATATAACCAGAATTACCCCTAAATAAACTTGAAAAACCCTAAAACATGACACACTTGATGAAGAGCACTAAACCCTCACACTCGAAATAAAAGAGAAAAAAGAACATCCCACCAACATCCACACCCTCCTATATTAATTACTATTTACTACACACACAAAACACCACAAAAACCAAAAAGAATAATAAAATGAAAAAGAAAGAAAGAGAAAAAACATGCATTAATAGGAAAGGTCATGTCACGACACTAGACAACTCGTTCTCAAATCCCTGCAATCTGTAATATGTAAGATAGTCATAGTGATTATACTTATACCCCTCACCCACCCCCCATCACAATAATTCACTTCCGTATTTATTTTTTTTTCTTCCTTTTGCCTCACACACTCACACACACACACACACATATACTTACAAAGAGATGCACAGTATACACACACTCAGGTTGTGATGAGAATTTGAGCTTTTCTAATGTACCTTACATAAATTTCTTTTCATATATAATTGCCGGTTGGTTTCGTGTTAGATCGACCGGCATACGACTCTTCTTGTAAATATACATATTTGCTTTTGAAAATGTCGTACTTAATTTACAAAACATTAATTATAAACAAAAGTGACATTTTGATGGATAAGTACACATTATTTGTTCAAATGGTATGATTAGCGTCCGGTGAGTCTAACGATCACATTGTCTCGCACAAGAATTTTGTAATGCTTGAGAAAAATTGCAGTTTTGGTCCACTATCATATGGTATTTCTCATTTTTATCACGTAATTTATTGGGATCTGAAATTGATTCAATAATTCTTGAATTTTAGTCAATTTGTCCAATTTTGATCTCAAACGTGGGAATCCGACAATTATTTGGTCCGAAATGGTTCAAATAACTTTTAAACTCTAGAGTTATTAGACTAATTTGGACCAGATCGGCTAAGATTTAAAATTTATTGAAACAATTTTTGTGTGTATATTTATATGATTTTCAAATTTTCATTTTAATATTTATTTTTCCATTTCAAGTTTTAACCCTATCTGCTTTTCTCCCCGTCTCCATAGCCTCTAGTCTTGGGGGAATTTCCTCCGCCTTCATCTCTCTTAAAATTAAACACTCTCTTTCTCTCTCTCTCTCCCACACGCACACAGTGAAAACACACACTGCCCTCTACTCTCTCTACACATTTCTCTCTCTCTCTAGCATCTCTTTCTTTCTCTCTCTCTCTCATGATATAAAGGTTTTGCTTCCTTCCTTTTATTCCGCAAGCCATCATCTTTATATGCACTGCCCCTAAGTCTCCCTTTCTTTTTGAGCTCTCTCTCTCACCTCTAGAAAAGATCTCACCAGCTCAAAGAAAGGTCCTTTTTGCATGATTCTTGAAATAAAAAACTTGAGGCATAAAAAAGATTTTTTGTCATCATCATCAATATTAGCTAGTTTTTAGAAACTAAAGGGTCAACTGTTGAACTCATTCTCTCTCTCTCTCTTCTCTCTCTGTCAGCATAAGAAGAAAAAGGAAAGTAGAAAGAGAAAGGGAAGCAAGATCCAAGACTTGGGTTTTGAATTTTGATCTGTATTGTCAAACTGCACGCCAGCCAACGAGGAGAAACTGTAGAGAAAAAGGAAAGTGAGAGAAGAAAAAGAAAAGAAATCACGTTTTGACCGCAGAAATCGAGGCACGTTGAAATTTTCCAAGAAGGAGAAAAAAAAAAGGAGAGAATTACAGGGCGTTTTAACAGACTTTTATTCTGTCTAGGTATATCCTTTTTTCTCTATTTTATTCCATTTTTTTCTTGTTTCTTTATATATATATATTGCTTGTGAGCTGTGGGTAGTGTTTCATTTTCACACTGCACACACTTTATGCAATTTTCGTATACATATGTACATAATTTGCTTGTGTGTCTGTGTGGGTGAGTCAAAATAAAAATACTACTATATATATCCTACTTGAAAGGGCTCTCTCTCTCTCTCTCAAAAGTCTCATTTTTCACAGGTAAATGAAGCAATCTCTCTCTCATCTCCCTCCCTCTATCTCTCTAGATCTCTCTGGTTTGTTTGTCTGTGTATGCATATGTGTAAGTAATTTTCATAACTTTTTAATTTGTTCACTCACTCGTGAGAAGGAATGAATTTTAAGCAACATTCTCCTAACACCACTTGTAACATAGATATTAGTGGCACAATTAAGAAAATAAATATATAAAAAGTCTCACTTTCACGAGATCCAATTCCAAAAATCTCCCTTTTTTCTTTCTCAATTTCTATTTTTTCATTTTTATATGACATGGAAAGATGTTTAGGGTTCTTGGCTAAAAGTAGAGGGGTCAAGCAGAAAAAAAAAATATTTGCTAGAAATTATTATTATTATTATTTTATTTTTTTTGAGTAACTAAATATGTACATACAAAAAAAAAAAGTCAAAATTTTGTAACTAGCTAGCCATCAGCAGCCGTTAACAGGGGGAAGTTATATAACAAAAGCTAGCATAATAGCTATTTAAGTACTATAAAATCACTTGTCTTTTCCATAGATATGAAAGTGCATAGAAATTAAATAAGGGGGATTTGACAGATCCTACGAGGTGTGTGTGTAGCATATAAAGGGCAGGTATATTATCTCAAACATTCAATTTTTTTTTTTTCCAGATTTGGTTCAGCTTTTTTCTCTATCTTTAATTTTTTTAATCTGATCAATTAAATGAATTTTATGGATTTCTGTTTCTTTAATTAAAGCTGTCAATGATTTGCTTGTCTCAAAGGCCAATTTTTATGTCTTTACAGGCTATGTAGCTCTAGCTGTGTTTCAATCATGGCCTGTGTAAGCTGAATTAAGGGCCTTCATTTAATTTTTCACTTTGGAATTCAATTTTTATATGTCCAAAAAAGAGCAAAAACCAACTCCATATATGGGGGCTTTAATTTAATTCTCTTGACCATTTGAGGTTCTTTTTCCTCATTCTCTTATTCCCTCTTTCCTTTTAATTTCCTTTTCTTTTCAAGAAAACTTATTGTGAAACTCATTGGAATGTTTTCTAGGAATATTTGTTGGGTATTTCTGGCCTTGTCCTTAATAAAACCCCAAGTTTCATACCTTCCCATTTACACAAGATTCATTGTCACACAAAAATTAAAAATCTTGGCTATTGACAAATCAGCTAAACGAAATGAGCCTCTCGAAATCTCAACTCCACTCGATTACACCGCAATATGCATGCAATATACAAGAATTCATTGTAATTTTTCCTTCATTTTTTTTTTCATAATACATACTCACATTCCTTCTCCTTTTTCAAGGTCAAACACCAAGTGTGTAGCGCAGCCCAAAAAGTCAACTCAAAATATAAATATACATATTATATTATGAAATTAATCTCTCTCACACAAATCTCCACTTGTTATATATAAACACTCATACAATTCCCCCTTTTTTTTCTCCCTCCCTCTCAAGGTACGTATCTCAGAG